AATAAAATTAAAAAATATAACATTAAATAATACATTAAATTTTAATAGCGCGTGGGTCCACCCTTAGCTTCGATAACAGCTTTTAGTCTCCTTGGAATTGTTTCAACAAGTTTACGAGTAATTTGAGGATTAATATTTTCCCAAGCTTTCAGGATGATCTTTTCCAATTCTCTATAATTCCGAGGCTTTGATATTCGGACTTTTGACTTGAGAATTTCCCACAAATGTTCAATTGGATTCAAGTCTGCGCTCTGAGAAGGCCATTCAAGTTTGTTGATCTTATTTGTTTTAAAAAATTCCTGTGCACAGCGATCGCTATAACTTCATTAAAAGTGGTAAGCACAGCGATTAATATATTCACGTTAGTTATGTATGTTACTGGTTATTATATAATAAATAATTAAATGTTTTTTGTTATAGAAAATTAATCAAGCGGTGCGGAAGGCGGTGGCCAAGGAACGGCGGAAGATTGGAAAGCACGGCAACTCAAAATATATCCCAGCGGCTATGGCGCTGAAATATATGCAAACACCATCACCGCCGCCACCAGGATATGTGGCATCATATGTCCCAGCGCCATCGCCGCCGGGATATATTCCAGCACCTCTATCGGAGTATCCTGGCGCTCCAGTGCCGTCGCCATCAGGGTACATTCCAGCGCCGTCGCCACCACCGGGATACGTGCCAGCGCCGTCGCCACCACCGGGATATGTGCCAGCGCCGTCGCCACCACCGGGGTTTATTCCAGCGGCAGGTTACGCCCCGTCAGCGGGATACGTCCCGTCGGCGGGATACGTCCCGTCGTCGGGGTACATCCCACTGCCGCCGGGATACGTCCCACTACCGCCGGGATACGTCCCACTGCCGCCAGGCAATAAATAAAAATGTTTAAAATATATATATATTGTGACGCCGCAGTCCGCTGCGGCAAGGCAGCGTCCCGCCGCCGTCACAAGGCGCGGGTTCGCGCCCCTTTTGCCGGACCGACAGCCGCGTTGTGTAAAGCGAGACCGAGATCTCCGGGAGGCCCGAATGTAAATCGCGTATCTTTTATTAATTTCGTTTGGAACCTCTTACATGTACCGCGGCACCTCACCGGACCAACGAAGCATGGGCCGAAGAGGCTCAAGGACAACGAAAGCAGCAGGGAGTTGGAGTACGGGCGACCAGGCGCCGGAGCAAAGGGGACACGCACCGGGCACGCGGCGGGCAGGA